ATTTTATTTTTAAATCACAGAAAATCACAAATTTATATTCAGTACATTCTAGACGGTCTTGGAAATGTGGACCGTATCAAATTTGGTTGGGTGCGTTATACACACACTTAGTAGCACCCCACCTACTGGACGGCCATGGAACCTTTACATTTTACTTGCCAATTAATGCAGTATTATACGCTTATAAGATATCCAACGCTGTGTGATTTGAAATTTACACACCATTCACGTCGTTGCTCTTCTTTCCGTGTTCATTTTGAGTCTGTCAGTGCTCGGTAGTCTTTGTTGACTTTCTTTTTAGATGTACTGTATCAAAGTGTGTTCATAAGTTTTAAGCTCTATGTCTACAATTAGAGTGCCAACTCCATTAAAGAATGGTTTTTCTTTTTTTTTTTTTTTTTTTTTTTTATGAATAGTATTCGTTAAAATAATGAAATAATAAATCAAAAAGTAATAATTAAAATAATATGTTTTCACTTCGGTGTAATTTTAGAATAATAAAATTATATATGCCTTTCAATAAGGTTATAAGAATCAACGCACATGTAGGCCTATAGCCTATCTTCTCTGTAACTGATTTTGCATTAACCATACACTGTGACATACTGTAAATCATAAAAATGTACCTACGCTATCGTGCAGCCGATTTAGTTACAGTCCCTCTTTGAATAATATTTAGACAATGCAAAAAGTTTATTTTGTCGATATATTTTTGTCTTTGGTTTAGGTAGGTGGCATTTCTGACAGAAAGAGTTGGAATTCGCAAGACCACCAGACACTGCTATCACTTTATATTGGCGAACGGTGCGAAGAGGTCTGAATCTGCGCCTCCCTCTTGGTGCCCGGATTTGCAATATCATACCTTACAACAATACAACAATTATTTTTCTTAATACAATTTAGAGGGGTGCGACCGCACCGTCTGTCCCCTCTGCACCCGCCCGAGCACAATCATACACCTGAAATAGTTAATCTGTATGAATGGGATTTCAAACTAGTACTGTGTGTAATCACACATGAAGTAAGCAATTAAACAATTATTATTAAAGTATTTCTACTTAGCTGAGTACAAACAGTTTATATTTAAACTATGAAAGATCTGCAACAAACTATCAACAAACAGACCTCTGGAAATTAGATATTTCTTGGTTAGCGTGGGTTTACATCTCAGATTAGGGCAATCTTTACCCTCATATGCCCAGGATACAGTACAAACACACAAAAACAACAGAACATACATTTTTATATAAAAGTTAGTTCAAATTATATATAAAAATTTTTAGCTTAATAACAGATTTCCCTAATGCCAAATACTGTATCCATTTGTTTACGTTCACAAAAACATATAGTGTTTTTTCTGATAGAAACTGAGAACATTAGGGAAAACATTATATTGATATGAGGAGACTTTTTAAAACCAGTTTAAAAAAAAAATCTAAAGTCCAGTATTGATATGTTCACACAAGCATGGTGAGAAACTGGGAACATTAAGCTCAACAACATTATATGGATGTGAAGACACTGGTGTTACGAGTTTTAAAACCCAAAACTCAAGTCTATCCTTTACTGTAATCCACCTGCAGTTTCACATTTGTGTTGTCCATTGCTGCAGTAAAAAAATGTGTAAAAATAATGCAACTAAAGAAATGAGTATCTGAGCATTTGCTAAAAAAAAAGGTTACACCTTTATTTCAACTGTTCCAACCTACATACAGGAGGGCAACATGACCTCATTAATCAGATATGCTTTTATAGACTGGCATGAAGAGGGCCATACTGTATTCACACCCAGTACAGAAAATACAGTAAATAAACAATTAATTTTGATAATGACCTCAGGGGTCATAAGTCTCCTGTGAGTCGCAGAGTGTCTTTGAAATCGGTACGCCCTCTCACACACCTACAAGCAAGCAAAGATCACCCGACAGTAACCCATCTTCTACTAATTCCTAATAGTGCAATGGGTGTAGTGACACCCATTGCAGGCCGACTTCCGAGTCTTCTGAATATTAGGCCTATTATACTAGTCCCTGGAAGCCAGCTTGCAATTGGTATCCCCACGTGCAGCAAAATAAGTTATAAGTGTAAAGAAAGCTCAAATTCCAGATCTCCCAGAAGTGGCGTTATCCAGCATGGGACCCCTTGGGATGTCATCATTTTAATTCAATTCACCTAAATGCCTCTCCCTCATGTATTTACTATTAGCTTCCACAGCCATATGTGTTATTTTGTTTAATCGCATTTCATTTTTCTCGTTGATAAATCTTTGCTGCGTACTCTAAAAACAACTCCTTGGGTAAATCAGTCTTCAGATTGTCTATATCACTCTGAATGTTTGCATAGCTTTCGCGCTCAAATTTCCTGTACAATGATTCTAGTTCTAATTCTTTAAAAACATCTTTAACGACGGCAACTTTATTTGGATCATCACGGCCATAGTTTATCTGAAAAAAATTACCATTACAGTATGTCAATATTATTTCAAATTTTATGTATCATGTAATATGTCTTTGTTGGCAATAATGATTGATGTTGATGGTAATAATAATAATAAGCAACAATAACAATGTCAACACCAACAAATCAATTATTTAACACTCAAGAAAATATTTCAATGGATTTACATTTAACTATAGAAATTTCCTTTTTTTTGCAGGGAGAGATCAAAAGAAAAACAAACATGCACACAAAAATGGTATCGACCAAATGTTTTTTTAATATTCAACAAGAAATTTATCTTTTCTCATTCTAATTTTCAGTTGAATATTAATAAGTTATTAAAATATAAAAATCAAATCAAAATTTTATCAATATCCTGTACAATAGAACCACCTGAATAATTATATTATTTTACACAGTAATAAATATTAATAATAGACTATCTTTAAAATTTTTGTCGAGAGGTACTGTGTAATGAGTAAAAAAGAATAATTAATTTGTAATTTACAAATTTGCGGGAATCTCTATAACAACCTATAATCAAATTTGTTTTCAGAAACATTGTAATACATGGTGTACCAGATATTATACAACAATAATCCTAAATGAAGTACCTGTTATATTATTATTAAACAATAATAACAAATAATGACCGAAATGACTGAAAAAATACAATACTTGCCTCTAAAATCTTTTTCTGTCGTTGGTCAGCTAATGCCAATGCTTGTACAATGAGCCAGCTACATTTGTTTTCTTCGATGTCTGTACCTACTTTACCAATAGTTGCAGGATCACCATAACAGTCTAAATAATCATCCTGAAATATTTAAAGATTTAAATGTTTGTAGTGAAAAATCTGTAAAAATTCAATTGTTAAACCTGTTTCATAGAATATATATAAGACGATACTTTAAATTCAATGTTTAAGTTTTTAATGTTTTTCTCAATGCTATTATTATACAGTATTTCTAATGTTTTATGGGTAACTATTTCACAAGAGAAAAAACATTTTTTAAGTATAAATAACAAACAATGCAACATTTAAGCACCAGAATATGTTAATATAGTAGGAAAGTTTTGCACAGTAGTGGTTTTGAGTGCAATTCAGGTAGACAGTTGAAGACTAACTGCTCAGGTAGACAGTTGAAGACTAACTGCTCAGGTAGACAGTTGAAGACTAACTACGCTGACCGGTTATTTATTGTTCTTGCATAAGGGACTTTATATTGCTTCAGTCTACCAACCTGTAACAACAGGTACCAGCAAATTGCTAGGAGTAACCTGCAATGCACGGCCGTAGCAAGGATTGCTATTGGGGGGGGGGGGAAGGGTGCAAGGGTGTGCAAAAATGGACAAACTCTGGGGTATGGTGGTTGCCTAGAACCGTCAAAGGAAGAGCTGGTTAGATTACAGCTTTGGTATTGATATTGAAGGGAGTTAGCCGTTAACACTGTTGAATAAATATAATATACGATTTATATTAGCTTTGGTATTGTAGGATGTTGTCAGTGGCAGATTCAAAGGGGGCCCAGCCGGCCCAGGCCAGCCTAAATTGTTCGAAAATTTTTAGAAATGGAGATAAAAAGAAAATTATATTCAAATTTTAAGTTTGAGAGTGCCATTTCCAGCCATACAGGTGCCATATTTATAAATTTTCTTACAGTACCTCAGCCCCAACCATGGTTGGGCTGCGGTGGTAGAGATCCTCCATCTGTGAAAGTACCTCTCCGGGCCCCTCTATTTTGAAATCCTGGATCCGCCACTGGTTGGAAGTGGATATGATACATTACAGGTAATAAAAGATTTTCAAATTCCCTTCAAATGGTTATACAGGAAATAACAAATTTTATATTCAGTACATTTTTGACTGTCTTATAAATGTGAATTTGTGTCAATTTGGGGGTTGTGGGGAGGCTTTGTACCCATCGTATCCCCTTGAATACCACACCCTGGAATCGCACCATCTGATAGGGGCCTGCAATGGACTAGCCTCTTATCGAGGGAAGTATTTCATTCTCATCCGTTTCATGCTTCTTCTTCTTCTTATCCCTTCTTTAACATTTGATTGCTCTACAAACTAACTATAATGAGGCCAGCTCACCCGAAATTTTCCATTACGCCACATACAGTACTTCTAGACTATTGACTTGGTATGGAAAACTACTTCCATTAAATTACAAGTTTGTTTGTAAAAATTGCATAATAGGTAATTGATAGACCAATCGGAAAACCATTGCTACCACCACTACTGTACATCATGACAGTTTTTTTGTACCATTTGTAAAGATCGCATAATATGCAATTTATAAACTAATGGAAAAACCACTTCTATTATATCATGACAGTCTTCTTGTAAAAAAAAAAAATATTGTACCATTGAGTATTTCAAAGAAAATGAGATTAGATGTAAAATCTGTATCCTTCATCATTACTACAGACTATCAATTTCCAATATAACTTGATTCTATAAGATTTTTTTTTGTAAAAATGGCATAATATGCAATTTATAGACTAATGGAAAAACCACTTCTATTAAATCATGACAGTTTTCTTGTAAAAAAAAAAAAAAAATTATTATTGCCCCATTGGGAATTTCCAAGACAGTGATTAGTAGTTAAACCTGTATCCGTAAACAGTACAGACTATCAATTTCCAATAAAACATGATTCTGAAAACAACATCTGGAATCTTACATGAGTTAATGTTACAGCGAGTTCAGAGAGCTATGCATTCAGAACATAAACAAGTGGTTGTGTCACTCCAGCAGGGATGTAGTTATGGTGGGTGGGGCCACCTAGCCTTGGAGTTTCCCAAACTCAGTCTATAGCTAATTTCATGGCCTTCCACCAACCCTTATTAAGCTACTTTTCCATCCGTAAAATCCACTCTTAGTATTTAGAGTTTACCAATGTTATTACCCACCCACCTATTATCCACCTTTACTTTTCTACAGCTACAACCCTGAGTAGTACAGTACAGTACATATTTATCTGGGATTAATTAAATTTTATTAGACATCGCTAGGTAATGAAAGAATAGAGACTTGCTGCTGTTGTCAAGGGTGGTACATTTATACATATCTCTGAACAAGGGTTATCTCTATACTGTGGTGGTTTGGGTGTTAGATTTGAGAGTTTAGAATGCTCTCAATGTAAGGTTGGGCTTTAGCCTGGGCTTCAATAGCCCTTTAATAACACCCCTTGTGCACAGCACAACCAGACCTTTATATAAAAGTAAAACCCATTAATTGAATTCCCCCCACCAAACCCAATTTTACCACCAACAGCGTATCTGTAATGTTTGGCAAGATGGAACCGATGTACCTTTAAAAACACTTTGGTCCTTTCTGCTATCATTTGCCTGTGTAATCAGTATTACATCACATCAATCATCTTTTGGAATTTGCAAGTGTTATAATCTGTCAATGACAGACACTATTTCCAATATATACAGTAGTGTATTATCCCATTTTTTTAGTGCAACTTTAACCCCATTTCTGCACCTCTGTATCCCCAGGCACTCTGTCATGGCCACCATTGGTGTTAGAAATGCATTAATTTTTTATAGGTGCAGTCTCAGAAAAACAAAACACAAACACTGTGTCTAAAGACCTAGAAAGATTAAAGTTCACAATATTATATTCACATACAGTCATAAATACCAAAGAGACCGAGGAGGTTGGAGTTTGACATCTGAAAGTTTGTTTGGTCTTTCATCAACACATGTTATGGCGCAACCTTTAATAGACAGTACAGTAACCTCTGACATTAAAGTGATCAAACTACAGAGAAATTAAATGAAAGATGAATGCAATCCAGGATGCATAAATTTATGTCCGCCAACAGCTGGATATTAAATGGATTATAAATACAAATGAATATAACAACAATTAAAAAAATAGTTTCATAATTTTTTTCTATTATGGATTGTAGGTATGTACAGTATAAAGCAAAGCTTTAAGTTTATAAATAAACACAATTTTTTGTCCAATTCCAAATCTTTGAAATTGGAAATTTTGAAAAGGGTCCTTGGAACTTTCGGCAGCTTGTGGCGACATGTTACAGACATTATTATGGATTTGATTTTTTTAAACATATATTTATTTCAACCATACAAACCTTTATAAACATGTCACATTTTACTGAGTATAATCCTAGGGGCTAGCAATAAAATTTACTGAAATACTGCCAGGTGTCAACAGAATCAGTGTCACAAATTTCAGCTGGATCCTATCCGCCATTAACGTCCACCCATTAAGTACAGTATGTCTGTAACTTTTGCACTTTCCAGGTGAAAGATTTTGCTTTTCGCCATACTGATTGCCGAGGCAAATGTGTTTAGGCTTTAGAACGCGACTTGTTATGTAATCTGATCTTTCAATTTACAAAACAACTTGTAATGCTTTTAGATAAAATATAGAGTGACATTGGGTAAAGGATTGAAGTGGATATGAAAAAGTAAGGACAACATGATGAGGGCGCTTAACATCCTTCTCTTGAAATCCGCACATGAGGGGTGGGTGCAATCAAATTTACATATTGATGGCGCCAGTCACATAACAACTGGATGAAGGAAGTGGGAACCACCAAGCCACAATCGTACTAAAAATGCAAGCTGGTAGTTAGTAATTAGCAAAACTGTTTACATTAACAAAAAGCACAATGACTTTACTTAAAGAAAATTACTCAAATTAATTAATAATTAATCAATCAATCTTAATTACACGTCAACATCCTGTCACCACGATGACGACCAAAGCGTCAGAAACCCAAGGGGTTGCAATTATTTGTGGTAAATATAACAGAACAATATTAAGTACTGTATAGAAAGAAATTAGATTGTTATTTTTAAAATTTCAATAACTTTCGACAACAGTTTAATTAGGCCTACCAAGAACAATTGAGTATCAACAATGCCAGGTTTTGAATTTACTGTATGTTCGATTCATCAAATATAATTAATAATTTTGTTAAACAAATTGTGTCAATAAATGGGACAATTATCAATAAATAGGACAATTACCAAATGGGGCAATTTTTCTAACACCACAAATGTTTTAATTTGTGGAGGAGGAAAAACCACAAGTGAAGCTTTCAATAATAGGTTCTTTTAAAAAATATAAACAATTAAACATGTAAATATATAACAAGATAGTAACAAGATAGTAAAACAAATAAAATATTTATATAAATATTAAAAAAAAACAAAAACTGTTGAATGTAAGGATTTTACTGTGAGAAACTGATATAATTTTATTATATACCAGAACATCATTGACTGCATCTCAACCCAGTAATGAAGAAAGTTGAAAGAATAAACTTATATCTGCTACACTCATCATAATTTCATTTGATTATATATTGTGCTACTAACACAAAACTTTATATGTTGACATACCATACTTCAATGGAATGTATTGCATGCCGCATTTCTTCAGGTGAATGTCCACTGTGTGCATGACAGCTTGTGATATTGTCATCAAATTACTGTACCTCACGTCCAATTTTTTATTTACTACTATAAAGTTTATTTGTTCTAAGAATTCCTTTTCCAGTTTTATAGCATGTTTATAACATTTTTAGATTTTTGAATTTTAATCTTTACTTAAAATTTCAAAAAAGTTGTTTGCTATCAGCACTAAATATTAGAACTTGTTTTCATCATTAATTACAAAAGCAAGACACAGTGACTATCAATTTGGAATTTACGAATAAATTCTTTGAAAAAATGATAAACTGAATATACAGTCAATGTGGTTGATTATTTCCCTTCAAAACCATGTAATATAATAGTAATATGATATAGTTTGTTGCCTAC